GCTTGCTGGTTGGTCGCTTGCTTGCTGGTTGGTCGCTTGCTTGCTGGTTGGTCGCTTGTTCGGTGGCGATGGGTCTGTATTTTTTTGTTTTTCGTTTTTCGGTTAGTTGTTGGTTTAGTTGGTCGGCTGATATTTTAGAATTTTCGGTCGCCTTTTAATTTTACTTGCTTCAATTCGTTCGCACGTTTGTTTGTTCCTCTGTCTGTTTCCTAGCAGTTTCTGATCTAACATATTTGTCAAATATTTCACTTCTAGCCATTGAGAGAGTGGCAGCTCGAGCAGACCGTTCCCAAAGTACAGCAAGGAAGAGATGCGATTCCTTGTTCTTCAAGTACTGCGCATACTCCTGGGGAATGCCGCTGGCCATAATTTCTGCCTGCATCGTGCTTGACGTCACAGACACCTTCAGCTTTGGATATGGTATGGTCTTAAATTATGGATATGTAAATATAAACATAATTCAGGCAGGCAAGCAGGCAAGCAGGCAAGCAGGCAAGCAGGCAAGCAGGCAAGCAGGCAAGCAGGCAACTAATTTATTGTCACCGCTTATGTTTGCTATTTTTCAGGTCAAGGGCTATACTGCTACATATCCTCACATGGCATCATGGCTGCTGTTGTCGCTCCCGTGACTGCCATACTTCTCTTTAACTTCACAGCTCTAGTCAGGACCGTTTATGGAATCAACAAACTCAAGAAGGTAACTGAATGGTGATGTCTTATATTATATTTTTTATTTTGTTTGCACGTTCATGCAGTCTGCTCATCCGTTATCTCCAAGAATACTTCAATAGAATCCCAATAGACTTCTATTTTATTTGCTCATTCTGCTCATTTGTTCTCTCCAAGGATACTTCAATAGCATCCCAAAGCTCGTCTCAGTCTTCCTCGGGTATTCTTTACCTGAAACTAACTTGTCTCTTTGGGTTGTCATGGATACTGAACATCATCTTCGCATTTACTCAAAACATTTTCGTGGCATACTTGGCGGTGATTCTCAACTCTTGCCAAGGTAAACTCCAGTTTCGAGCTCTCTCTCTGTTTCTCAGGGTTATCCTTCAGAGGGTCAAACCTTTTTATTTTGAGGAAACTGTTTCCTTGTTGACTTAATGGGAGGGTCATGAATTTCTTACTCAAATTCACGACCCTCCTAAAGGCCATTCTTAATAAGTTTACTTCAAATCTCCCAGCTCACCATCCCTAATAAAAAGCGTATTAAAAGAAATCTTTTTTTTCTTGATAAAAATTTGCTAGCCTTTTTTTGTACACAGAACATTGTCGACTTTTTTAATAAAGATTTTTAATGCATTACTCTTTTTGCAAAGGTATATTCATGTGCCTGGGATTCTGCTTCAATGAACGCGTCCTCTCTTTCTACAAGGCAAAGCTTGGTATTGTGCCCAAACCGACACATTCTCAGGCGTCATCCAAAAGGTCAAATACCGACTCCACTTCAACAAGACTGTAGTAAGATGAGTGCGAGGGAGAACACGAGTTAAAAAAATTCGTCCTCCCTCCCGACCCACCCCTACAAATAATGGACAGTGTCTTTACGCACATCGCATTTATGTTAAGACATTGTATACACTAATTTCAATAAAGTTAGTCACCTGAAAAGCTGAGACTGGCAAGGATTATGGGTAGATACATATTACATGTTTTAACCGCTTGATAACTGTTGATGAACTTGAGATCTTCTACGAGTTACAAGTTAACCTCCTCTGAGTATCCTCATCCTCTGCAGTTTGAGTCAAAAGCTTTACTTGTTGGATATAAAACATTTCCTCATGATTCTCGGCGATCACCGCTTTCTAGCTTTTTGGCGACTAACTTTATTGAAATAAGTATATAACAGTAAGTTACTATAATTTGCAACAAAACATAACAGAATGATTTTAAGATTTGGCAGTAATGTAATGATTTGATTAAGAAAATAAGACATTTCGATGACATCCTGTCATCAACATTTGATGACAGATTCATTCTTGCTCCTGCGTTTGCTGCTTGTAATCAGTATTGCTGACGATGAGTTGAATTTCTCTAAACATGTTCATAAAACTATAAAATATAAATAAAACGATAGATGTACCGAATAGCATCGTCTCGTAAAGTTGCTATAACGAATAAAAAACATAATCATCGACATCGAAGTTAAATTTAAGAAAATTTAGATAATCTAAAATGGCCTTTTTTTCAGATATGTGTTAATATGTACTTAAAAATATTCTGAGAATTTGCTGTCTATTCTACTTCCCTTCGTGGATTGATACGGTGTTTATAACAATTTTCGGTGAATTTGCGTTGATTTGACCCCGTCCGACGACAATGGTCCTTTGCGTTTTGATGTGATGTCATAGTGAATTAGGGCAATAGGCCTTTTCATAGTTTAAGAATCGATTCCACTGCGCATGCGATTTTATCCCGAACTTCTCACCTTTTGTCTAAACCTTCTTTTGTTCTTACTCAAGCAAAAGAAGGTGAGAAATTTGGGATAAAATCGCATGCGCAGTGGAATCGATTCTTAAACTATGAAAAGGCTTATCAAAGAACTCCTAAATATTCGCTCTAAAGCTACCTTAATTTCCTTTCCATTTGTCTTCAACGGACTGAACAATGAGACATTTTCTGGCACTATAGATAACAGATTTATGAGATTTATCATCTCAAGAGCAACGAAGTATTTACACAAAACAGTAACAACATCTTTGTCTTTGTAGAATCTTTAATTTCAATCGATTGGCCCCTTCATTTACATGTACGTTTTATTTTAACTAGAAGGGGACACATTTTTAGGGAATCTTCCTAACCATCTAAAGGTGCAGATTCATATTACTATATCATTGCGATCTCTGGGATCTGTTAAATCACTGCACTTTAACAACTTTTTGCAATATCAGCTCACAAGTTCGTACGCAAAATACTACCATCAATATCTTATTCACATGACGAGACATTTGATTCGCAGGAAATTCTGTAAGCTCTTCTAATTCATGTTCATTTTTTCATTCACATTATTTCTTTAATTCTCTGTGAATGTTGCATTGTGTCCTCTTGGGAACAAAGTCTTGTGAACTCCGATATTCGAAGTCTTCTAATATCAAAGCTTGGCATGAGGCACTTTTTTTCCTGGACAATGATTAGGGCAACATCTTTTTTCCAGGTACTCGACTCAAAGCCAAGCTATTGTGAATTGATTTGGATTTTGCTGGGAGGAAAAGCACGTATGTCATGCATTTATTCATCCCATTCAACTTTCCCCTGGTTTTTCTTCTTCGGCAGATCTCAACCATTCGAAAAAATGTACCGTCGAAGACTTTGCTGTGCCCTTGCCTTGGCTTTCGCTTGGACTGTCGTCCTTCTCCCAGTCAAAAAACGCATCTTCTGAGATTATTTCCTCATCGTAGAGTGCGTTGAAGAATGACTTGAGAAATCCTTTTAGACAGAGATGAGAAAAATATGTTAGACAAAAGGGGGAAATTGGGCACCAAAAATGACAACCTTTAACTTAAAATAGTAATTTCCTTTTTTCTTTCTCTCTCTCTCTCTCTCTCT